AGTGCAAGAGACAGATTTCCAACCCAGGTTCCTCTGGTTCTCAAGTGTTTGTGGGTGACATGCCCCTACTGCTGTCTGCCAGGCAGTTGGGGTTCTCAAGTGTGTTAAAAGAAAACTCAATGTCCTGAATAGCAAAAACTGAAGCAGAAGCTAACCTTTCTGAACAGTGCCCAGGCTCAGGAAACCACTTATTCGTTCTTCACAAACTAACATGTGATAAGCAGCCGGTAGTGATAACTTCAGAGGAGAACTAGGAAGGAAACAAATTCATCAAAGTCACTCAGCCACAGTCCAGGCTGTGCGTCAACATAGGACCTTCTAAGTGGAGCAGAGAGGGCCACCCCATCAGGACAGATAGACTGAAGTCCACACCTGGTTCTCCCACTCATTATCCAAGCACATTTGGGAAACAACTTTGTTTTAGGAAACCTCTATTTTCTCATGTCCAAAAGAGCCCTCTTCTATTATCATTGTTTCAAAAAAAAATAAGACAAAATTTGAAGCACTTATAATTGGGACTCAATAAATGTCCATTCTCTATCTCTCCCTTCCTTGCCTTAAAGAAATTGAGCACATGAGAGGAATGTGAAGAAAGGTATAGTTTCTGCTTAAGAGGCATTTTGGGTAGCGAGGTAGATAGCTGGAGGAGCAGAGAGAACATGGGCTATGGGGCTGGAAAGGTCTGAGGTATCAAACAAGCTTTGGTTTAGCTGTATATGGAATGGCAAAACAACAATGGCTTAACAAGATAAATGTTTTTTTTTTTTTCTTCCTGAAACAAAATAAGGAGTTGGCGATTCCAAATAGTGGCTCTACAATCATTGAGGACTCAGATCTTTCCATTTTGTGGCTTCACCATCCTAATTGACTTCTTGGTCCAAGATGGCTGCTTGAGCTCCAACTATCATCTCCATATTCTAGACAGAAAGAAGAATGACAAAGACATGCCACTTCTCCCTCCATCCTTATCAGCCAGAGCTTAGTTCCAGGGCGTCACCTCTGGAGACTTGAGGGATTTCTAGGTGGAGTAGTTCATGGGTGGTTTTCTGTGTGACTAGGGCTCAGGGAGATGACTAACTGGGAGATTCAGCCTTAAGCTACACCAACATAGAGATGGCAGCTCTGGGCATGGCTGGATTCACCAAGGAGAGTGTGCAGAGTGAGGACAGGATTCCATTGAGGTCAGCAACAAGGATTGGGCTGAGGAGGTAAAGTTCATGATGAAGTAGACAAACAAGGAGGGTACAGTGCCAAGGAGAAATTTTGCCATTGGTAGTGCCCAGTGTTGAAAGTGAAGCTACTCAGGAGTGATATCATGGAAAATGGCAGAGCAGGGATCTCCAAGAAACCACACACACACTGGAACAACTGTGAGCTGGCAAAAATAGAAAGTCAGTCTAGAGTCTAATTTTAATTCTAGAGTCTAATTTTAAAATTTACAGTGGCCAGGGGAGTGCTTAATAAAGAGACTGCTAAATTCCATGAAAGTATTACAGCATTTTGGCTTATCTTCCACCATCCCCCATACCCCAGCTCAGTGATGATGTATCCCAGGTGTGGCTTGCTGATGTTGGCAATGCAGACCTTGTTCTCAAATAATTGTGGTTGCCTGGTAGAGTGCTAGGCAAGCACTCTACTGCTGATGTACACCCCCAGCCCCAAGGTTGTAAATTTTGACTGTTCCCTGAGGGATTGGCCCTAGGTACCATCTTTTTTTTTTTTTTTTTTTTTGAGAGAGAGAGGGAGAGAGAGAGAGAGAGAATTTTAATATTTATTTTTTAGTTTTCGGCAGATACAACATCTTTGTTTGTATGTGGTGCTGAGGATCGAACCCAGGCCACACGCATGCCAGGCGAGCACGCTACCTCTTGAGCCACATCCCCAGCCCCATAGGTACCATCTTTTAAAATATTTTAAAGATGTACACTACCCCAAGTAGTCTGAGGCAAGGGACAGCAGATGGGCCAAGCAGCAGATAGACCAAAAAGTCTGAATGGAAGAAGATGAGAGGAAGATATTTGGGAGAATAAGGGCTTCGGAGGCCTATATCATATACTGGGAAATCCAAACAGCAACACACATTCCCAGGACCAGACACTGAGAGGACCCTAGGTTTGTACCTTTGGCTGATCTTTGTGTTCTACGAAAGCAGGAGGTAAAGTCTAAGGCAGATGGATAGCTGTGTATTGAATAAGCATTGAATGAGCCAATCTGCAAATACCAGGAAAGTTTTGTTTTGTTTTTGGTCCAGATGTTGAGAAAATCTGTGTCAACTCAGTGGCTGACCATTGAGATATTGGAGCAGAGACTTTAGAGTCTATACATGCTAAGGAAGACAGTCTACAAAATTAGTATAGAAATGTCACTAAACAAACCAATGACTATAGCCCTTGATCACAGTAAATCTTGCAAAGGGGGAAATAATCCAGTTTCCAGAGTTACCACATTATAATATTTTAAATGTCCAGTTTTCAAGAAGAGCAATTAGAAGGCATATGAAGAAAAAGAAAAGTATGACCAATCCACAGAAAAAAAAGAAATCAACTGAAATCTTCCCTAAAAAAAACCTAGGCATTAGACTTGCTAAAGACTTTAAATGTACTATCTTAAATATAATTAACTAAATGAAGGAAACCACAAATAAAGGAGAAAAATAAATGTATGAATAAATAGAGAATATCAACAGAGATAGAGAAATTATAAAAAGGAATAAAACAGGAAATTTGGAGCTGAACAATGCAATAGTTGAAATAAAAGATTTGAAAAGATGGGCAAAATTGACAAATCTTTAGCTAGACTGATAAAAAGAAAGAATATGCAAATAGTAAAATCATAAATAAGAGTAGGAATATCATTGTAGAACTTGCAGGAAAAATAGGTTTATAAGAAAATACTATGAACAACTGTACACTGACAAATTAGATGAGGTAGATGAAATGAATAAATTCCTAGAAACACACAAATTGTTCAAACTGACTCAAGAAGAAATAGAAAATCATTTTTCTAATTTATCAAAGATCACTATTTGGATCATTACTTTGTCTGCCAAAATGCTGGTCCTTTCCATCTTGGGTTAATTTACATTTGAACAGTTTTTCCCCCTATACACCTATGGCCATTAGATTTCTAGAAAGCAGTCAAGACTGTTCAATGGAAGAAGGACAATCTCTTGTACAAATGGTACTGGGACACCTAAGTATCCACATGCAAAAGAATGAAGTTGGGCCCTGATCTCACATCACGTACCAGAATTAACTTTAAATGGATTAACAACCTAAATTAAGTGCTAAAACTTTAAAAAAGAAAACAGTAAATTTTCATGACCTTAGATTTGACAATGGTATCTTAGAACACTGAATGTGCAAGTAACAAAGGAAAATATATATACTCTGGACTTTATCAAAAGTAAAGTCTTGTGTGCATCAAAGAGCATCAAAGTGAAAAAACAACCTACAGAATAAGAGAAAATATTTGCAAAACATATTGGGCCTAATATCCAGAATACATAAAGAAATTACAATTCAACAACAAAAAGACAATCCAATTAAAAAAATGGGCAAAGGACTTTAATAGTCATTTCTATTATTTTAATAGACAATTCTATATTCTAGGAAGAATGATTGGCCAGCACAGGAAAAGATGTTTAACATGATTAGTTATTTGAAGACAGAAACCMAAACCAGAATGAGATACCTCTCCATACCCACTAAGATGGCTATAATAATAAAAATAGAAAATAAGTTTTGGTGAGAATTTGGAGAAATTGGAACCCTCTTACATTGCTTATGGGAATGTAAAATAGGTCAGTTCCTGTGGAAACAGTTTGATGGCCCCAAAAGTGAAACATAGAACACCATGTGATCCGGCAATTCAAATTCTAGATATGTACCCCTAGAAAATGAAAACAGGTACTCAAATATATTTACATGCATGTTCATGGCAACATTATTCACTATAGCCAAAAGCGGAAAACAGCCCAAATGCTTTTCAGTGGATGAATGGATAAACAAATTATCCATTGAAGTGAGTGTATATACATACACTGAAATATTATTCAGTGATAAAAAGAAATGAACTGTTGACTCATACTTCAATGTGGATAAACCTTGAAAATATGCTAAGACTAAGAAGCCAGATACAAAGAGACAATCTATGTTTCCATTTATATGAAATATCCTAAATAGTTAAATCAATAGACACAGAAGTAGATTGGTAGTTAAAGGGATCTGAGGGAGGAGGGGTCTGGATAAAACTTCTCAATGAAAATGTTTTGGAACTAGATAGAGCCAGTGGTTGTAGGACATTGCTCACGTACTAAACACTACAAAATTGTACACTTTAAAATGGCTAATTTTGTTATGTGAACTTCACCATACATACTTTTAAGTAAAATAAAAGTAAAGCTACTGTTTAATGGAAAAAGGACAGTTTCTTGTACAAATGGTGCTGGGACACCTGAGACAATGCTAAATTATTGACAATCTCATCTTCACCCCACAGACTCTAAATCCTGGAATCATGTCCTCCTAGGCCTGTTTCAGGTCTGGTAGCAATTTTGTCTCTGTTCAATTGAATCCAGAGTTCCTGGTGGCTCAGAAGTAAGTGCTCTAGGGAACAGATCAGGAAAATTTTCATGATGTACCTCAAATCAGGCCCCTGATGCTCTCTTGAAGTGAGTAAAATCTGAAGGTTTAGGATGCATAGAAATCTAGTACTACAAGAAAAGCATGCACGAAGTCAGTGCCCTCCTGCCTCGTGGTACTGACAGGCCCCTACCAAACGCAAGGCCATTGCTCAGTTCTAATGTCAGGTTGATGCTGTCGTCCGCGCAGCGGACAGCGCTGCCGGACCCTTCCGTTTAAGGGAATCCCGAAGCGACCCAACAGGACGAGAGAAATTGGCGTCGCCCACGGGGCGGGGACGTGGGCGGGGCCACGAGCGGAGGGGGGAGGGACGTGGGCGGGCCCTGAGCGGGGCGGGCCCTGGGCTGTGGGCGGGGCCTGCGCCAGTGCCGGGGCCAGCCGGGCTCTCCGCCAGCGGCGTAAACTCTTCTGGGGCGCAGCGGCGGAGCAGGTGAGAGAGCGGGCGGGGCTGGGGGCGCGCGGCCCAAGGCTCGAGCCCCCGGCGCTGGGGGCCGGGGGTGGACCTGGGACTTGAGGGCCCGGCCCTGCCCTCCTCGTGCCCCAGTCACGGCGGTCGCGGCCCCTTCCCTTGCTCCAGGGCCGAGGCCCCTGAATGCACCGAGCTCGCGGCCTCTGCGGCCAGCGCGGGGGGAAAGGGAGGGCGCCAGGGAAGCGGCAGTGAGGGGCCAACCCGGAACTGGGGCGTGGAAAGAGCGCAGCGACGACCGAGGCCTCTGGCCTCGTCCCGGCGCTCTCTGAGCCCGCTCCCCGCACCCTCCCGGCCGCCAGAGCCCCCACTGGGGGTGGGCGCGGTGCGATTTGTTAAAGGGCCAGAGTGCTTAAAGGGGCAGCGCACGTGGGTCTTGGTCAGGCATTTTCTTCTTCCCTCTTGCCTAGGACCTCGCTTGCGCCTAGTCCATTCGGTCACTGCTTTGCGAAGAGGAGTAGAGGGGGTCTTCCCCAGTGGATGAGGAGCAGGGCGCAGGGCTTGAAGATGGCCTTGGTTACTAGCGGTGTTTGGCTGTTTTATCAGGCATTTATTGCGGTGGGGAGACGCCCAGAAGCAAGCCTTTGAGCTGGAGGAATCCGAAAACAGAAGCTTGTCCCCACTCCGAATTTTACCGATGAAGAAGCTGAGTCCACAGAGCTAAGTGACTTTGCCCAAGGTCGCCCAGGTAGGATATAGCACAGCCAAGTTTAGAACCTGGTGTCTTGGCCTCTACATCTGCTCCCCAAACCTCAGCTTTTTGCTAGCTAGATGAAAGGTTCAGCTATGGCTTAAGAATTCCCTCTTAAAGATATGAACTGTTAGTGAAGTAATGCATTCCTTTTTACAGATGGAGGAACTGAAAGTATTCCATACAGAACAATTGCAAGTCAGTTTTAACTCAAAATAGACAGCCTGGGAAGCCAAGACTGTCCCCAGAATAATTTTGATCAGAACAGACTCCACCTTTCTAATACGGATGCCCCTGATGACCACATAGTCCCTTCTGTAGACACCTGAGCCCTCAAAGCTTCAGCCAAAACTTTTGGCAGTCATAAAAGACTCTGGATAAGCTGCTGCAGGTGTGTGAGCCTCAGGTTCCCCTTTCTGTGCAGGTGGCCATGTGGGAACCTGAGAAACTAAATCAGCTGATTTGTTTTCTGAGCCTAGGTGGTGAAAGGTCCTCCTTTCTTCATTCAACTGAGAGCTGGCCATCCAAATTGATGTATTTGGTCTCCAAGACAGGGGTTAGGGTTGTGTATCTGTGAAGACTGTTGTTGCAGGGTACAACGGATGCTGTTTCAGACATGCTGTTTCAGATTTGGAGAAAGACTGTAACCTTTGGTGCCAGTATATAAGGTCTACAGTACAACATGTTAGCATGTGGGAAATGAATGCCTGGTTCCTGAGGCTGCTGTTGACTGTGCCTGACGGCAGGAGCAGAGGATCATGCCTGTTACTCCTTTCCTCATCCCCTCTTCTGTTGCTGTCAGCTCCACTGTGCATGATTTGCCACGAGAGACTTACCTTCCTTGGCTTCTCTTTGTTATTGGTGTTAAGGATGACAACATATCTTGTTTTAAGAGTTGGTCATATATGATTAAAAAACCATTTTGTGCTATAGTTATCGGTTATCTTAAGAACTTCAGTAATACTTAAGTAGTTGTTATTATTGCTCTTTTACAGAAGGGGAAGCTGAGGTTTGGAGAGTTAAGCAGCTCGAGACTTGAGTGCCTGTGAGCACCAGGATTTGAACATAACTGCCCATCTTGTCTTTATCTTTTTTGCATAGACATCTTCCCACATTCAAGACCCACTATGTCTCTGTGCTACTGTCCAGGAGGTCTCTGTGGGATCTCCATTACCAATTTACTGAGAAGCCAGTAAAATAAATAAATAATAATAATTATTATTATTTTTTTAAGAAACCAAGGCTATGTGTGTAAGTCATGTGTGTGTGTTTAACTGTTGCTTTGAGTTTGAGAGACTTTTGCTGGGGACTGACAAGGCAGCAAATGTTTCTGCAAGTGTTTCCACCTGTTTCCTAGCTGTAGCTCCTGGGGGAGGGGTATTGGGGCCTAGAGGTGGGCTGGCCCAGGAGGCCCTCTCCTCCTTAGTCTGGATCCTGTATACCTTGTATAATGTTGTACTCCAGGCTTGAAGATGGTATCACCACCATGCAAGGGTTTGGGGAAAAGGATAATTTCATGTTAATCCTCAGGAAAGAGTAAACATCATCAAGAAAGATCATTTTTTTGTATCCTCTTTATTGACTGGGAGAATGATTACTCATCTTTGCTAAAATTCTAGAGCAGGGGAAAAATAACATAAAGGGTACTCACCTTTCTGTTGAACCATAGCCAGAAACTTCCTGACTTTTTTTTCATTCTAAAAAAAAAAAAAAAAAATTCAGTAAGTTTTTGTTTTGTCATCTCCTAGCCATCAGCCCAGAGATAACTACTCTCAGCATGCATTTCCTTCCAGTGCTCTACTCCAGGTGCATATGTATACATTTGTCTTATGAAAACAGTAGAGATAGAAAGTGTAAAATGAAGTTGTGTATCCTGTTTTTTTTTTTTTTCTTCTTGCTACTGGGATTGAACTCAGGGGTACTCTACCTCTGAGTACAACTCTGGCCTTTTTTACTTATTATCTCGGGATGATGTCTTGCTAAATTGCCCAGGCTGTTGAACTTATGGTTCTCCTGCCTCAGCCTCCCACATTACTGGGATTATACGCATATACCACCTTGCTTGGCTCCTGTTTTTTTCTATTAATGTTATAATGTCTTAATAATTTTCCCTTCTTTAAGTATGCTAATGCTATTGTTTGAAGCTATATGTTCCCCATGTCTTAACACTTGTTCTGAGAGTGGCACTTTTGGGAGGAGATAGAAACTTTAGTAAGAGGTGGGGCTAGTGGGAGGTCTTCAAGTCATTGAGAGTGTGCCCTTGAAAGGGATTGTAGGACCCAGCTCCTTCTTGGGTCTTTTTACTTTGCTGCCAGGAGGTGAATGGTTTTGCTCTACCACCTGCTCCTGCCATGCTGTATTATATTTCTTTTTATAAGCTGATTATCTCAGATATTTGTTATAGTAACAGGAAACTGCCTTAACATTACTTGGAAAACCAGACTTGGTGTGTGTGGAGAATATTTGAATATGTCCTTATTATTCTTATCAGTCTTACTAAAGGACACTTTCCCTTTCCGGGTCTTTTGAATTGGCCCAGAGAAGCAGTGCCATCTCTCCTCTATGGCCTCACCTGGCCACACAGACTGCAGCTGAGGGAGAACAGACAGGGTCTGGGGGCTAGAGTTGGGTGTGGGGAACAGGAGGGACTTTACTGAGAGCTTTAAGGTGGCATGATCTGAGAGTGAAGGATTAGGGGACACATCTCTGCCCATAGCGAAGACACAGGCCTTGTAAATATGAATATGCTCCCAGAGAGACCATATGGTGTGCAATATGGGCTACCTGACCAGCGCCCCCCACCCCCACCCCAGTCATTATGTGCATGAGCTTCACAGGGCTGAGTGGGCAGATGAGGGCTCCTCCATGGGCAATTTGGAGACCTGCTTTTAACTGTGGCTTTTGTCTGGGTTTGAGGCACAGCACTGCAAAAAAGGGGGAAAAAAACAAAACAAAACTGACTTTTGGTCATGGACATAGAACTTTAACTGATTTCTTCTGCCCCTCTGGACTTCAGTTTCCTTAACCGTAAAATAGGGTGCTGACTATGTGGCCTTTAAAGTCCTTGCCCACTTTAACATCATCTATTGAAGTGTCCTTTCCTTAGACAGTGTTCACATTGCCAGAGTGCAGGGGCCTGGGGCTGGATGGAAATAGGATCTCTCCCTAGGGCCTGGCCTTTGTAGCCGGTTCATGTATCTGGTGGCTTAGCAGATTCCTGACTTTCCAAGAGGGACATAAATAGGCTTCCATATTCCTCCCTCATTGTCCTGTTTGTTTCATCTTCACTATAACTTCAATTTATTGAATACCCACTGTGCTCCAGACACTTTACACATTAGTCTTCACAATCATCTTGCAATGTATGCCTATTCTGCTTTTCACAGAAAACACCTGTCAAATTAAATCATCCTAGGCCACACAGCCAGTGAGTATATGGTTGAAATCACATAAGTACAAGTAGGTAACTCTGTCAGCCTCCAAAGAGACTGTGTTTGACCACTGGCTTGCTGCTTCTCACTAAAACAAAACAAACAAAAAATACCTTTCTGGGTCTAGTTGAGGCTGGTGTGCAAGGGGCTCCCTCTGCCACTTTCCTTCAAATTGCCCTTTTCCCAGGCAGGAAAGGAAAATTTCCTCAGGCATTTCTGAGAAAGAAAAGAGCCAGTGGAGGTTAATCTAGAGCCTGGGCCAGGGTTCAGGAGGCCCTTGCAAGGGTACCTGGAAGGGTGGGGCAGTACTTTGGGTCCTCCCTGGGACTCAGGCCCCAGCTCTGGCTGAGGTCACCTCCCACTATTGGGGGGAACCATCCAGTTAAGTTGTGTGTGTCATGAACTGGGATGGACAGATGAATAGTCAGCTGGGGCCAAATACAGTCAGGTGCTCAGGGTGGTGAGAGAAGTGGGCAGGATTTCTCAGCATGTCATCTGACCTTAGGAAACCCTTCTGTAGTCTAGAGGAAGATCGTGGGGGCTTTCCAGGAGTCATGGGAGTGCTGTGAAGTAGCCATGTGACCACAGAACGTGACCTGCTGGAAACCAGCTCTTGCTCTCTTTGACCGCCAGAGGGYATTATTCATTTGACCCCGCAGGGGGTGGGGGGACCAGGTGTCCAGGCTCCAAACCTTTGTCTGTAGCCCCARTATTTGTGGCAAGAGCAATAACTTGCAGTTTACTATTATTTTTCATGAGACATAGGGTTTGCTATCCCATTTAAAAAACCTGTTTCCTACCTGAGTCCATAGGCTTTTGAATGTTAAAGTTAAACCTTTGCTTTTCTCTGGAATGAAAAGAGGAAATTGGGTCACTGGGTTTTCATAATAATTGCAGGAACTGCTGACACCAGCCGGCTAGGAAACTTCTCTGGGTCAGACTCCCTGGGTTTGGCTCATCAGTATTTTGATCCCATTCAGCTGTTCAATGGAAACGAGCAGGAGCAGCGGCTTCTTTGGATGTTGTTGCTTTCTAATTCATGGCTGCCTTCAGCCACAGGCTTTTTTCTATCCCCATCAGCCACTGTGCATTTTCCCCAGGTACCCTGAGGGAACAGGGAGCAGGGGGTTGGAGACTGGAAAGCTGAGAGAGCTGGTTGCTCTCTCACCGATAGGATTTGACATCAGCACTGGAGAATTGCCCAGCCCCACCCCCACCTGGCTGTGAGTCAGGCTCCAGCGGGAATTCTGTGCGTCACTCTGATGTGGACACACATCCAGCAAGAGGTTGTTTATCTGTACACTGTTGGGTGGTGATTTTTACCTCCAAGGATTTCAGCGCCATCAGGCTTCAATGCGGACTTAGAAGCCTTGCAAAGCAGACTCTTAGCAATTCAAAAGAGAAGCAAAAGGAAAATATCCCAGCTGCTCTGTTTTTCTTCAGGAATCAGGTAATCAGGGGTGCTGGAGAGAAAATGTCATCCAGTCCAAGGAAGGGATTCAGAAGGGGGCAGGAGTGGAGGAAACCCTGTCTAAGTGTTGATGCTTGCTTGGTGTTTTCCTTTAGAAAATTAATAGCTTTTAAAAACTGCAGATGCCATTCATCTTTATTTTTAAAACTTTGAGAAATGCAGGAAAATATAAAATTAAAATTACCCACAGTCCCACCAATCTAAAGATCACCACCTTTATCATTTTGTAATATCTTGCCATTCTTTCATAGATACACATTTTAAAAGAAAATTCAGATTATTATGTGCAGTTTTGTAAATTATTATTTTATATTTTGTTAAATTTAACATATTGCTTTTTAAAATGTTGTTCGAAGTAAAATTTTTAGTGGTTCTGTAATAGTCTCCATAAGACGGATATGCTACTCTCCCCCTTACATATGGAAGATATATCTCAAGACCTCCAAAAGATGCTTGGAACCTCAGATAGTATCAAATCTTCCATATACTATGCTTTTTCTCTATACATACACATATAGGATAAAGTTTAACTTAAATTAGGCATAGAGATTAACTAATAATAATATAAAACAATCATAACAATATATTATAATAAAATTTATTTAAAACAAAGGAATTTTCCATGTAATGTTTTTGGACCACAGTTGATCATGGGTAACTGAAACCACAGAAAGTCAAGTTGCAGATAGGAAGGCCAACTGTGTCTCAGTACAGGGTCAGATGTCTCATTCACTTAAGTAACTGCAACACCCAGTTGTTTTGCATGAATCTTGCTGTTTTCTGAGAAGTAGCATTTCAGAATCTCAAGATATGAATATCTTTATAGCTTTTGATTTTTCAGTTCAAAATGTCCCAGCGGTGTTTGACACCCAGTTTTTCCACAGCAGGCACTATTTGGGGCCTTTTTTGGATGTGAGCACTATGCTAGTCTGAGCACCTTCCATTCCTTTGCCTCCCCAGTTGTTTTCTGATCAGGCCCTCCATGTTTAGGGGAAAGGGCTGTTCATCCCTCATCCAGCAGTGAAGTAGTGCTGAGCAGTGGGACATGGAGGTTGTGGGTGAGGAGGTGTACTTGCCTTACTGAGCCAAGGCCCAGCCTGGTGATTAAACAGCCAGAACATCCCAGAGACTGTCTAATGGGAATAGTTACTCAGGAACCATCCTAGAATGCAGAATCTCAGGCATTAGGATGGAGCTCCAAGATCTGCATTTGCGGGGGGGGGGGGACGGGGACTAGAGATTGAACCCAGGGGTACTTAGCCACTGAGCCATATTCTCAGCCCTTTTTTAATTTTTTAAAATTTTGAGACACAGGATTGCTAAGTTGCTTAGGGTCATCCTAAGTTGCTGAGGCTGGGCTTTGAATTTGTGATCCTCCTGCCTCAGCCTCCCAAGCTACTGGAATTACAAGTGTGCACCACTGTGCCCAGCTGGAATCTGCATTTTTAATACACAACCTAGCAATAGTGTTGAAGAACCAGGAAACAGAATACCTGGGTCTAAGGGTACCTTGAATCAGTCACTTTTTATTTTCTTGTGGTGCTGGGAATGGAACCCAGGGCCTTGCACATGCCACACAAGTACTCTACTGCTGAGCTGTATTTCCAGACCAAATTGGTTGTGTGGCCCAGTGGTAGAGCACTTGCCTAGTTTGCCCAAGGCCCTAGGTTCAACTCTTAGTACTGCAAGAAGAAGAACAGTCACTTTTTTAAACCTCTTTCCTCTTCTGTAAAATGGGAGATAATAGTGGCACCTAACTCCTGGGGTTCTTGCATTTAGTGCCTACTAAGATTCCACCACTGCCCCCTCAGTGGCCATGACCACCTTTGAGAAATAGTGATCTTAAAGGGAAGCCTTTCTTAAATGCTTTGTTGGTCCCTCAAGTGGTAGGAGATCACGAGAGGTGCCTCCTACCTGTCACCCTCACCCCGGGCAGGCTAGGAGGGTTGTGATCACATTGTACCCATGCTTTACCAATAAAAACCAGCTTTTCCCCCAATCACTTCTAAACACCAGACCTCTCCTGCCCTGCCTGCCTGGAGCTTGGGCCCTCTACTTTCTTTGGCATAGCATCAGGGGAGTTTTAAAAAATAATAAATGAAGGAAGGAATCTGCTTCAACAGAGTTGTTTCTGGTGAGGAGGCTATATGTATGAATTTCTTTGTGGACTCAAAAGCATATTTTTTGGTTTTCAAATGTTTCTTCCTAAAGAGCTGTTAGGTCCTGATGAGAGCAGACCTGCCCCCTCAGTGGCAGCAAGTATGGATGGTGAGGACAGTGTTCTTCTCTGTTCAGTGCAGTGTCACATGGAATGAGCATAGCCTTTCTTTAAGCTTATCCTCCCCAATGTGTCCTCAGATATCAGGGAAACTTGGGCAAAGTGCTTTCCAGGGAATATCTTAGCTCTTGGCAGCTGAATGGAGAAATGGAAATTGGAAGGACTTAGTCCTAGGTGCCCTACCTTTTTGAGCCCACTCTTCTGTTAGCTCCCTTTGTCCTTCATAGAAGCACCTTTCCATTTCTCTTGAGCATTACCTCCAAGTCTTAGAACAGGCAGCCTCTGAACATTGTTATACTAGGGGGTCTGAAGAGCAAACTGTCTGGTCCTCAGGGGCTGACTCTATGGTGTTTGAGATACAAGGACTTCCAGATCTGCTCCTCCATTCACTATGAAGATGAATCACAGGCACCCTAGAGGCATGGGAAGAACACTAGGAGGGAGTTTGTAATTTATTAATTCACACCCCAAACAAAACAGAAATGACATGCTAACAACGGATGAAAAGAGCCACTAGCATCATCTCCCATCTAAGGCATAAATTTTGAATGTTATAATTTAGCTAGAGAAAATGCAGCCAGCTGTTTGTTTTAGGTGCCCCCCCCCCACTTTTAATATTGTTGCAGTGCTGGGACAGAACCCAGGGCCTTGTACATGCCAGGCAAGTGCTCTACCAGTGAGCTGCAGCTCTAGCACTAGGTGCTCTCTCTGAGTAAGAGAATTCACCAATCCTGGAGGGGGGATGTAAGGGGAACTCCTGAGTCTAAGCAGGTGTTCATTTAGGGTGTATCTAGAGAGGCTAAGCCTCACAAATGAGAGGACAACCTTAAAGTTTCTTCTAGAATCCACCTGATAGTTTCTCTCATTTTCATAGATGAAACAACTAAAAGGGAAGAACTACCCCAGGTCTCATGGTGAGTTGGAGCTGTGAAGCTTTGTCCCCTCAAACTGGTTCCTAGCCAGGGCTTGGGGTCATAATACTCTCTTATGGCCTTGGGCTAAACCTAGTCTTGGGGGATTCCAAGTGAAAGGGTGAGAGCCCCTGCCTTGGTAAGGCACCCAGCCCCTCCCTGGAATGGTCTCCTCGACCGGGTACTTGATGTTGTCAGGATAGGTCCCATCTTATATATTCACTTAAGTGGTTACCACTTTCTAGAATGACCACCTCCTTCCATCTCAGCCAGGCAAAATATTCCTAACCTGTGAGGCGCACTTCCTGTTTCTCTTACTCCATGAAACCTGAGCCATCCAATGCTAATGGGTGGCAGATTTTCTTTTTCTTAACTTAGCAGCCATGGTCCTTATTACCTCCCTSCTGGAACTTACTTTTCTTTCTTCTGTTCTTATTCCTGTTTTTCTGATAGACCCTCAATGAGATCTTCTGAGGCTGAGGGGTTTATTGGCTAAAATCCCTACGAGATCAATGGGGAGCCTTTGCAGTAGGCTTGAGCCAGGAGGTAAACAGAGGCAGGTCATGCTTCATGCCTATAACTGGGAAGGAGTTAAAGTTCCTATGAGAATACTCCAGGCCACAATGGCTATCTTCAAAAAGAAAAAAAGTGGCAGCCACAGGCGCTGCCACTGGCTATTTGGGTGGAAGGACCATCTGGAAATCCCATGAATTCCAGGGTGACTTGCCTGGAGATGAGCTTTCAGCAGAGTGGCGTTGACCATCCTTCCCACAGCAGAAGTTCAGCCCCAACAGTTTGTGGGAGGTTACTGGTGGCTCAACAGATATCCCTGTTCAAGATGTCCCCAGTGGGTTGTCCTGTGTCCTTCCCAGACCTGAAGTAAGTGTGTGTGTGGGGGGGGGGGGCACTGCACTGGTTTTCATGGGGTTTTGCTGTGTTGGAACTCCATTTGGAACTACACAATAGTCCTCGGGGCAGGCCTCCCTCCTCTGTGGTCTCTTTGGCATTGGTGCTCCTTGGGGTCCCACCCATAGTGGCCCTTCCACCCACACACTTGCTAGTGTGGGTGCACTTTCTCTTGTGGCTGTGGCTACCACTACTTAGTTCATGATTCTTCTACCCAGACCCTCAGACTCAGATGGGCCCTCAGTGAACTCCCTTTTTTAACCCACAGATACTCCATGGGTTCCTGAAACAAATTCAGTCCTTCCTCTGAACCTTGCTTCTCCTGTCATTCCAGCTTAGCCCAGTGTGGCAATCATCCTAGGTCMCATCCTTTATTTTATTCTCCATATCAGGTCCCTACATCAGATTACCACCTCATCCTTCTGGACTGTCCTCTTCCCTTTGCAGTCACTGGCCAGACTGGGGGACTTATAAACACAGATCGGATCTGTCATGTGTCTTGACTGTCCTTAAAGAGACAGAGGCCTCCCCCACATGGCATAGGAGACCTTTCACACCACCGCAATCTGACCTGCCCTCTGCCCCACCTGGAAAATCTTGTCTCCAGCAAAATTTCTATCTTCTCTAGAAAACACTCCTGGTCTTTGAGATCTAGGCCCTTCTTTGTATTACCTTTTGACCAACATCTGGATGATACCATTTGTCACATTGGATGATTTTTGTTGATAGCACAAAAGTATCTCTTACTCATCTTTATATTCCCTGGGGTACAAGCCTCCTCAGGCATTCCCACACTTGGCAGCGGCAGCCTCAGGCAGCCCTTGGGAGCTCCTATTCTATAGCAGTCATTTAACATTACAGGTCTCATGATGGGGAGGACCTGTGTCTGGGTCTTCAGACTGTCCCATCCACCACCTTAGCCCTCACTGACTTTGCCTCACAGAGTGATACAGGATCCCTGTGCTCCTTTTCCAGGTGCTTCCTGAGGCAGGGCCATGCTCACATTCATGGCCTCTGACAGCGACGAAGAAGTGTGCAATGAGCGGACATCCCTGATGTCAGCCGAGAGTCCTACACCGCGCTCCTGCCAGGAGGGCAGGCAGGGGCTGGAGGATGGAGAGAACACTGCCCAGTGGGTAGGTCCCACTAGCAGTTGGAGGTCTTAAAACAGGAGCCTGGGGTTCCTAAACTCTATGGATTGGTATAGTTTGTATTTGAAATGTCCCCCGAAGCCCTGTCCCGTGTGTTAAGGGCTTAGTCCCCAGGATGGTTCTACTGGGAGGTGCGAGGACCTTTAGGAGGTGGAACCTAGTGGGAGGTCTTCAGGTACCTGGGGTGTGTTCTTGCAGGGAGTAGTGGGACCCCAGCCTCTTCCTCTTCTCTTTCATGGCCTGGCCATGAGGTGGCCTGTTTTGTTCTGCTCTGTGCTTCTGCTGTAATGTGCTTCCTCACTTCAGGCCCAAGGGAATAGAGTCAGTTGATCAAGAACTGGAACCTCCGAAACTGGGAGCACAAATAAACCTTTTCTCTTATGAGTTAATTTATCTTAGATGTGTGTTAACAGAGACAGAAGCTAACATGATTGAAAAACAGACATTCCCCAACTGGAGAGAGGAGGGAGTAAATCTGAGAATTGGCCAAGGAAGTAGATTGTCCGCCATGGTGGATCTTGCATCTTTGAGGGATTTCTAAGTAGACTCTCCACACAGTCTAAAATCAGCTGTGAAATGGCCTGGGTGGTGCCCTCCATCCCTGCCCCCTTAGATTTACCTTTCTAGTGCAGGTCACTGTTTCCATGGTAACATGAGAGTGAGTTTGGAAGCTAGAACAGGTAACACTGAAGCTTTAGGAAGGTAGGAGGGAAACTTATTTGGATAGGTATGCAGCCAGACATAATATCCATGAGATGAATCTGCCTAAGTCACCATTGACTCTCCAGCTGGAGGTACTGTCATCTTACCTGCAGCCCCAGGGYAGGAGTCGGGTAGACTTGGGAGAATCACTTAGCTGTGCCATCTGCCTTTCATTAGGTAGAACATCTGAATCTGCCTAAATCCCTTTCTCTGTTTTGCTCATTATTGTAGTTAAAAACCTTTCTTTGTGCACTTTTTTCTTACAGCCAGCTTTAATCCCCTTTGCTGAAATTTGAGCTCATTTCTCCACATTTTTCACGAGCACAGAGCCTGTTGTCCTGAATTCTGAGTGAAATCTCACCAGCTCAAGGTCACTGCTCAACCTTTTCTTGATATTTTCTTCTTTTATCTCCTGGAGTTTTTGTGCATTTTACTTGTTTGCGTTCCAGTCCTTCAACAGCTCTCCTTCCCTTAGATAAACAACTAAATTGGAACTCTCTCTGCAAAGAACCAACACGAAGCAACTGTCCTTTTCTGATTTGGTTTCATTTATCTCATCCTTTTGCTGTTAACCTAATTAACATGGTAGCTAGTGACCCTTAATTCCACAGTTCCAAAACACTAAATTCTTGCCAACCAGTTTCTGCCAGTATGTGTCTGACAGGTATCCTTCCCTCCTTGCTGCTCGCTCAATTGAACTCTCTCACCTATCCAGAGCCCAGCTCTTCTAATTCAGAGCTACAAGTTTTCTTCTTGATTTTGTGAGGCAAAATTTCAAGGTAATTTCTTTCTCTACCAGTTCCTAGAGTCTTATTCACAACCGAAGAAAGTCCCCCTATGTGTTCCTTATTCTAATTAGTGATTTATCGATRGAAAATGTTTGATCTTTTTTCCTCCTAACACCTGGCCTGTCTCCTCCCAGGTCAGTATGACCATTTGAACAGAATTGAGGGGCATCCTGAGTCCCTGTACTTTGGTAGGGAAAATATCTTTTGATGGGTTCCAAATTCATTAGCTGTTGAATTGTGGACCAGAGACTGCTCTTGTGTGGCAGTGGCAGCCTCCCTCTCTTTATTTGTGCTGGTTAGTCCAACTCCATTTTTTCTTTACTATTGTCCTCCCAAATCTTTCATACATCCTAAAAATGCAACACTCCCACATCTCGATTACAGCTCTTAAATTGCTGCTTATACCTAGAAAACAACATTCAGCTTCTCATTTCTGATTTCAAAATCCCTGCCCTACATCACCAGTTCATCATGTGGGGCAGGCACTCCATGGTCCTCAAGATGTGGTTTCCCACAGAGGAACCAAGATAGCGAGGAGGACTGCGAGGAGGACCCTGACCACTATGACTGCAGCGGGGTCCCTGGACGGCCACCAGGCCTGGAGGAAGAGCTGACCCTCAAATATGGGGCAAAGCACGTTATCATGCTGTTTGTGCCTGTCACACTGTGCATGATTGTCGTGGTGGCTACCATCAAGTCCGTGCGCTTCTACACAGAGAAGAATGGACAGCTGTGAGTTGGGGGCCTGGGCAGCGTGGGGTGGAGTGGCAATAGAGTGGAGATGGGTTTGGGGTGGTTGTGGCTTCCCTTGGCCGCTGCACCTGCAGCTGCATGCTATTGACAGTGAAGAGTAGGGACAGAGGGCTACCTGTGTTTATACCCCGACCCATTGCCTCCTGGCAGTGACTTGCCTGGGCGTGCTTCTCGGCTTCCTTCTCTGTGTCGGAGTTTAATAATGGGGCTACCTGGAGAATTAAGCAAGTGAATAACAGAAGGCAAGCTCTGGCCACACAGCACTGAGCTCCATGTTCCAAAACCCAAGTCTCTCTGTTCCCTTGGATATAAATTGATGGTGTTAGATCAGATGATTTCTGAGCTTCCAGCCTGGAGAGGAAGATTTACAGGGCCCTTTGTTGACACATACATGCAAATGTTGTAGCATAAGCAGGATCTTCCCTTCTGACTTCCCTGTGCCCATCACTGTTCAGAGCCTTCTCTAAACGTCTGGGGTTTTTAGTTGGAAACTTATTTGGGTTTGATTTGGGGTTTTTAAAAGAAAGGGAACGAAGCACCACCCTCAGGAAGCTTATACCTGTTGGGGACTCAGAGCAGCACAGGTGAAAAGCATTGAGAGGATTGGCCCAGCAGATGCTCCTGGAAGTCCAGGCTGGGAATAGCAGGTTCTTGTGCCCCACCAGGGCTCCAGTGGGTGGGGATGGGGGAACAGCCCTGGATAAGTCCTAGTCTGGGTGGAGCTGATGAAGAAGTGTGGATGTGAGACATCATTGGATCTGTATGGACCAGGGCTAACAGAGAGAAGCACCTCCAGGAGGGATTTAATTTGGGTGGTAAGGAGAGGTGTTGATACGGTCATCTAGTCCATGCTCCCTCTGCTCCAGACATGAAGCTGCAAGCCACAGGTACATGGTCAGGATTCTGGCAAAGGACCCAGCAGTCAGGGACTGCTCATGATGGTGGAAGCACTCCTGTCATGAGGGCTGTGCAGAAGCAGTGTGGGAATGTCCAGGCACCCACAGTGGCTCCGAGCATCGCTCAGGGTTGGGGGTGTTACAGAGCAGGCAGGAACCAAGACCACCAGCCTGTTGCCTTCCCAGCATCTACACTCCCTTCACCGAGGACACTCCCTCAGTGGGCCAGCGCCTCCTCAACTCTGTGCTGAACACCCTCATCATGATCAGTGTCATCGTGGTCATGACCATCTTCCTGGTGGTGCTGTACAAGTACCGCTGCTACAAGGTGAGGCCCGTACACCCTCTGCCCATCTTTCCCTCCTCCTGTCTCTCCTCTCCTCTCCATAGCACCTGCCAAATGGGGCCCACTGTACAGTAACATTTTTTGAGGGGTACTAGAAATTGAACATAGGGCCTCACAAATGCTAGGAAGTCCTCTACCACTGAGCTACACCCCCAGCCCTCACAACAATCTTTTTAAGAAAAACTTTTAGAGCCCTATCTTTTCTGGGAAATAGACTGATTCGGGCATTCTTTCCCACCCTACTCCTGTCTCTCACCATGGATTACCTAAAACTATTGTTTTTTAAACTTTCATGGGTACAGTGATGCATACCTATAGTCCCAGCAGTTTGGGAGGCTGAAGCAGAAGGATCACAAGTTTGAGGCCAGCCTCAGCAACTTAGAAAGACACTGTGTCAAAATGTTTTAAAGGGGTGGGGGTATAGCTCAGTGGAAAGGTTCAATCCCAGTACTGCCAAAAATACAAAACAAAAACACACAAACTTTATTCCACTTACTGAGTTCCTCTTTTTAATGTTCCAAGTGTCAGTTCTCCCATTCAGAAGGTAATTTTGTTTTGTTTCTCCTCCTGAAGTTCTATTTTAGGTTTCCTTCACCCTGACACTTCCCCTCTGGGTTTATTTTTATTTTTCCATTTCCCTTTTGGACAGGGATGATCAGATGCTATGCTGAGGCTTTCAGCTCTGGGAAGTGTTTGGGTTGGACCCACCTGCAGCCACTGAGCCGCCCCTGGGAGTAGCTGAGTCATGCCTGGCCCCAATTGTGGGTAGCTACTGTCCCCAAAGATGCTATAAGCTTTTACACACTGGTTTTAGGCTGAAGGCTTTACAACCATAAAGATTGAAAGGAAGTTAAGCTAGGCATTAATTGAAAACTGCACACAAGCTTGGCCCACTGCTTCATATTTAGGCAGCTGCTGTTCATGGAGCCCGGAGAGAGGAGAAGCAGAAAGACTGGGGTCTGCAGGGATGAGACAGGTGGTGCAGGCAGGGAGCCAAGCAGTCCCAGGGAGAGTGACATGGGCATGAGCCATGGGAAGGACTATCAGGAAATGCCCCTGAGCTGCAACTTATGGATAAATAACAGTTGTCTGTGTAAATGAGGCAGACCTTTAGTATTGAAGCAGGAAGATCACAGGAATGGTGGGAAGAGGTAGAGGGCAGCTCATTTGGAGCAGAACATATGGCATGTGGGTCAACGAGCTAGAAACAGCGTGGGGAGCATGGGGCCCTGTTATGGCCAGCAGATGTGACAAGCAGGAGATAATTGTGACCCATGTGGGCGGGTGGTAGTTGCAATAAAGAGTATGAACAAGTTCCCTCTTGACCTGGCATGCAGCAGGGCCTTGGTGGCCACTTTCCACCAGGTAGACCAGGTCTCTGCTGGGGTCCTGATGGACCAAGCTGCTAAGTGATGAGCTGGTCTTCAGAGATGAGACTGCAAGGAAGTGACACCACTGTACCACTGAGGACTAGCTGAGGATCTGGTTTAGGATCAGGCCCACCCTTGTTTTTGACCTCTCCATGCTGGGCCAACAGAAGATAGACCTATTTGTAGAACCTTGGGTAGGAGGAGACTTTCAAAAATAGTACCTCAAGGGGCTGGGGCTGTAGCTCAGTGGCAGAGTGCTTGCCTAGCATGTATGAGGCACTGGGTTCGATCCTCGGCACCACATAAAAACAAACAATGGTATGATGTCCACCTACGACTACAAAAAAAAAAAAAAAAAAATTAAATAGTCCTTAGATAGGCCTGCCTGACCACTTAACGCTGAAATTACACCCCAGTGAGTCTTCTGTCACTTGTCCTACTGATCTTTTTTCTCCCTTAACCCTTATCACTACCTATTAATATTGTGCCTATTCATTTATGTGATATTTGAATTCCCTTCATCCTAGAATATACTCATGAACAGAGACTTAATTGGTTCTCTCCCCAGAGCCTAGAATAGTGCCTGGCAAGTAGGAGATACTCAGCAAGTAGGAGATACTAAGAGAGTTAGTGCTGAAGTGTGACGAGCACAAGGCTGAGGCTCATCTCCCTCAGACAACTGCAGGGTGACCTAAGAAAGACCTTCTCTGTAAGATGGCCACCTGACACCTTCCCACACGTTCATGAAGTAGCCTATATAAAAAGAACACCCAGCCTAAGCAGCAGTCCTAGCAGCCTGGGGGCTTGTGGTCTGGGGAGCTTGGGAATCTCTTTTCATGGTCCTCCTATTTCTTTTGTCTAGTTCATCCACGGCTGGTTGATCATGTCCTCTCTGATGTTGCTGTTCCTATTCACTTACATCTACCTTGGGTAAGTGGTAGTTGGTGAGCAGCAGGGTCCCTGGGGACCCCTCCCAGCATAAGTGGATATGAAAGACCTGGGTAGGGAAAGGTGGCTCTTCAGCTCCAGCTCTCCCCAGAATCAGCTCTTCTAAGAGTCCAGGCCTCTAGGTTCCTCTTGCACAGACCTTGACAGAGGAGTAGGGCTCCAGTGTGGGCCATATCTTTCTGATTCCTGATTTAAACCATCATGGAGCGGCTCTCTATTACCACCAAGAGGGACAGAAGCCCCTCAAATTTTACATTCCAATTTTGGGCTAGGTCTGGATACTTATATAATTTATGGGGGAAAAAAAACTGTCTGCCCTTTGATTTGGTTTATTAGCCTCTCCAAGGACACAAAGAACATTTCCCCGGGCTTTTTCCAAAAGCAGAGCATCTTGTAAGTGGTGCCAGTGAACGTTTATATGAGCCATTCCAAGCATGAGTCATTGCTTTATTCCCCATCCTATTCCAAAAACAAATATTTTAAGTGCTTGGTTGTAGGACCAGTGGAACTGGGGTACGGGAACATAGTAAATAAGACCCAGGTTGTCAAAACCTAGATTGGGACTTAATGGCTGAGGAACAGAGGATGTTAACCATGCAGATGTGACATCTCCACTGAGTTTCCCACCCCATGGCTCAACCTTGGTCCTGCAGAGAAGTGCTCAAGACCTACAATGTGGCCATGGACTACCCCACCCTCTTCCTGACTGTCTGGAACTTCGGGGCAGTAGGCATGGTGTGCATCCACTGGAAGGGCCCCCTGGTGCTGCAGCAGGCCTACCTCATCATGATCAGTGCCCTCATGGCCTTGGTATTCATCAAGTACCTCCCAGAGTGGTCTGCGTGGGTCATCCTGGGTGCCATCTCTGTGTATGGTAGGTGGAGGTGAGCCTGGCAGTGGGCAGGGGGTGATGCCTAGGACTGAGACACTCTCAATACTGCAGAAGAATGGCAGGTGTCAAAACGCTCAGACCGACCCTGAGGAGGCCTTGTAGGAAACTCTTCTTTGTAAAATATTGGGGTCCCATGGACACATGTTGTTCTAACCAGTAGACACCACACACCTTATTTTCATTCTTGTTCTCATGATTATTGAGCATGCCACTGTAAGCACTAGATACACTAAAAGCTCTGTTCCCAAGAATAACCCAAAGTACCTTGAATACCCTAACTACTCAAAATGCTAGCTATTGTTTAATTAATATTAGTATGATTATTATTGCCAATATTGACATTCCCGTTTTAAGGCCAAGAAATTTAAGACTCAGCCAGGCATGGTGGTGCACGTCTGTAATGGCTCAGGAGGCTGAGACAGGAGGATCGTGCGTTCAAAGCCAGCCTCAGCAACAGCGAGCCACTAAGCAACTCAGTGAGACCCTGTCTCTAAATAAAATACAAAATAGGGCTAGGAATGTGGCTCAGTGGTTGAGTGCCCCTGAGTTCAATCCCTGGTACCCCCTGAAAAAAAAGAAAAAAAAGAAATTTGAGACTGAAGAGAAGTGAGACTTCCAAGCCTGTCCTCTGGGTCTCAGGTTCACAGCTCTTTCTTGTTTAGGCCCTGCTCTGGGATCCAGCCAGTACAAGATTCTAGATATGACCAGAAATTGATGAGGTTGGGTAGCTAGCCCAATGGCAGTGAACATTCTGACAGCTCTACCCTGGGGATCCTGGTGATAGAGAGCTGACTCTTCTCTGGGGCTCCTTGGGAATAAATGTGTTTTTTAACATGACAAGGACGTGTCTGTTTTCCCAGATCTTGTGGCTGTGTTATGTCCTAAAGGGCCACTCAGAATGCTGGTGGAAACTGCCCAGGAGAGGAATGAACCCATATTTCCTGCCTTGATATACTCATGTAAGTGGGCACCCATACCTCTGCTTGACCAAGGAATCAGCAGGCAACCTAAAGTGGGGATAGGGGCACTTGGCCTTGGCTTTCAGAGTTGACACACACTCTTTCCCTAACTGAAGGAGAGGATCCTGCCTTGGTGATACCAGGAAGCTGTGCACCTTCAAAGACCACAGTGGGCTGTATCTTGCTGTCACACAAGAAGCATCATGGGAAGTCAAAGCAGGAAGGGGAACTCTGAGGGGGCCTGGGTCAGCCCTGTGACTGCATCCCATTTATCACTCAGTGATGGTGCGGGCCATGCTCTCAGGATCCTCTGTAGCCCTGAAACCACCCCCTCAGCCTTTTAGGCTCCTGAAGAAAGACTTTGGAGAAGGATTTTTCAGGGTAGGGATCTGGGGGAAGGGAGCTCCTGTTTCTCCCTGGGCTTCCTTGACAGCAGCATGGCTCAGAAGTTAGTCATCTCTGAAGGAAAGGCACATAGAATCTCCCTTGACTTGGGGTTTAGGAATTTGTATTTATATGTGCATTCAACAAATGTCCCTAGTATTCATGAAGTCCCTACTTTATGGCTAGGCATTGAGGGTCTAGCAGGCCTGGAGCCTCATGGAGCTTATATCCCTGTGGTTTGACCACCTCTTGTCAGTTGATGGTGGGGTGCTGCCCCCGACCCTCACAGGCAGCTGAACTTAAGGTCGCTCGTGCGAATTTCCAAGGACACCAAATAAAACACAGACACACACTTTACCTTTAAATAAGCTTTAGGACGGCTTTTCTGCTCTCAGCCTCAGGCTCCCCAAATGGGAGAGCAAGTCATGAGAGGCTGGTGAGAGAGAGCACATTTGRAAGTGGGCTTTTATTGGGGAGACGCTTATCTTAGAAATTTCCATCCAAAAGCCAGAAGGGGCAGGGTTACAAGGAACAGGGGAGTGTAATTCAAACCAACGGGTGTAGTCTACATCTGAAGACTTCCTGAAGTGGGACAACGCCCAGATCACTATGTAGTGATGGTCAAAGCCTCTTGATTCAGGATGGAGAGTGGCTCCCCACAGTGGGGCTTGTTTAAGTAAAAGCATGAATTTCTGGGGCCTGCAGGGTATCCTGAGAAACAATTTATAGAATGACTTCAGTACTAGATAATTTTGGCATGAATGAGGACCCAAGCTTGTAATGGAGAATTACCATCAGCATGGCCTGAACACACATTCCAGGCATCTTCCAAGGAGAGCAGAGACCATGTATGGAAAGACTGAGACAGTGCTAGTGCTGAGTGCTCCAGGGCTCTGGGGAGTCACCTGTGGATAGATGAAGTCCTTGCTCTACTAGAGCTTACATTCCAGGAAGGGAGAGGAACAGGAACAAAACAGATAAAAACATAAGTCAGGAGRTAATGAGTGCTCCGTAGAAAAAGCAGGATAAGAGACTAAGAATTTGAGGAGCATAGGGTGATACTGCTTTACATAAGATGGTCAGGTGATATTTGACCAGACACTAGACTTAGGTAAAGGAGGGTGCTGTATGGAAATCTGGGGGCCAGCACCCCAGGTCAGAGGGACAGCAGCAAGTGCAAAGGTGCTAAATGGGCATGGGCCAGGTGCTCAAGGAGCATCCAGAGACCAGAGTAGCTCGAGCAGAGATAATGAAGGGGAGAGAGGAGGGTCCAGATCACTTTAACCCCTGAAGGCCACCGTGAGGACTTTGGCTCTTACTCATTAGTGGTATGTAAAGGTTTTGGGCTGACCTGACTTGATATAACAGGATCACACAGGTTGGTGTTGGAGAACACAGTGTTAGAGGGACAAGAGCAGAAGCAGGATCCAGTTTTGAGGGCTGAATGGACTGAATAACAACCCAGGAGAGAGAGGATGGGTTTTGGAAGTGGGGGCAGCAGTATAGGCAGCGAATTGTAGTAGGCTTCTGGAGATGTTTTGGAAGCAGAGTTGGTGAGGGTTGTTGATGGGTAGGGTGTGTATGGTGGGCCAAAGAGAGTAAAGGATGATGTCAGTGATTTGAACCTGATAAACCTGTGCTGAGAGGGAGCAGACCGGTAGCAGTTGCAGGAGTGCTGAAAGTTTGCTCTGGTGCATGTTGAGTGTGAGGCACTTGCTGGACCTCCCAGTGGAGAGTTGCAGACACAGAGTAGTTAAGTTCAGGGGACAGTGTCCAGGCCAGAGGGAGAGAGCACGATTTAGTTAGTCTCACGTGATCCAGCAGTCCCTCTTCTGGGTATGTACCCAAGAGAACTGAGTAATAGAGAACTATTAACCTGTAGTTACCCTACTATGCCAAAAAAGAACCAAAAGCAGTCTCCCCGCTCTGTTTGGCCCGCTAATGAACTTTCGCTTCTTCCCCCTGCTCTTCCCAGTCTCACATAACCTCCATTCCATTCCATTCTTCTATAAGATTGACTTGATACTTTCCATAAATGAGTGAGAACATTGGATATTTTATCTTTCTATCCCTGGCTTATTTCACTTAATATAATGACCTGTGGTCCACCTGTGTTGCTGTGCTGTAGTCCCAGACTTTTTTTTTGTTGTTGTTGTTTTCTGTTTCTTTTTACTTATTTATTATTATTTTGGTGACATGGTATTTCACTATGTTGCACAGTCTGGTCTCAAATGCACAAGTTCAGGTGATCCTCCTGCCTCAGCCTCTCAAGTAGCTGGGACTGACTATAGGTGCACATCACCTGTGCAAAAAACCCTGGCTTGGTTTGTTTTTTTTTTTTTTTTCCTATTTCTGTAAAGGAAGCTGTTAGCATTCTGATGGGAATTATATTGAATCTATAGATTGTTTAAATGACCATACTACTCAAAGCAATTTCAATTTTTTTTATCCATGAACACAGGATATCTTTCCATTTTTTGGTGTCCCCTATAATTTTTCTCATCAGTGTTTTAGTTTTCATTGTAGAGATATCTCACTTCCTTGGTTAAATTTATTCCAAAGTTTTTTTTTAATAATTTTTTACAGTATAAAAAATACCTTAAATTTTTTCAGCATTATTGTGTATAAAAGTGCTACAGTGTGTTTTTTTTGTATGTTGATTTTTACATCCTACAACTTGACTGAATTTGTTTATAAGTTCTACAAGCATTTTTGATGAAGTAGTAGGTTTTGCTATATGTAAAATCATGTTGTCTGAAAACATGAATAATTTAACTTTTTCTTTTCCAACTTGGATGCCTTTTTTTTTTTTTTTCCTCATCTGATTGTTCTTGCTAAGACCAAAAGGAAAAGGAAGGAAATTTTGACACATTATCATGTTGACACATACAACATGGATAAACCTTGAGGGCTTTCTGCACAATAATTAAACGAATGATAAAGACAAACATGTATGATCCTCTCATATGAGGTATCTAGAGTAGTCAAACACAGAGACAGTAGGATGACTGGCAGTAACAAGCAGCAGGAGAGGGTAAAGGGAAAATGTTTAATGGACACAGAGTTTCAGTTTTGCAAGATGGAAGCCTCCTGAAGATCGTTGCACAGTGATGTAAACTGTACATTTAGAAATAGTTAACATGTTAGCATTTTATGTTATATGGTTTTTGTTAAGGCAGTTTTTAAAACAGCACAATTATTTTACCAAACTATTCACTGATGTTATTGTGAGGAGAGGGAAAAAAGACAAAAAATGATAGTCTTTCCACAGTTGGACAGTGAGTTGGTACCCCTCTCCCAGCAACTTCTAATAGTGGAGCCTGAACAAATACCCAGAGATTGGAGAGCCTCATGCAGTTTTTCTAGGAACAGACTGACTCACTTCTCCCCAGGTGGGTGCAGCCACTGCTCAGCACTGCCTGAGCTGTGACCCTTTTCTCCTTCCCCTAGCCGCCATGGTGTGGACAGTGGGCATGGCAAAGCTGGACCCCTCCTCTCAGGGAGCCCTCCAGCTTCCCTACGACCCGGAGATGGGTGAGTTATGGGGGTGATGGACTGACAGCCTCTCGTCACTAGGGGGCAGCTCCATACCTGTACCCAGCTCTGCCTGGCCTGGCCTGGCCTTTCCAGGAATCAAAGTTCAGGAGTACAGAGCGATGTCATCTGAAAGCCAGCCCCCTAGGTAGGCACAGGCATCTCAGAGATTGAATGAGGGTTGGCCCACCCATCCTGGGCTGTAGCCCCTTCTGCTTCATTTCTGATGGTTGGGGCTGGCAGAGGAGGGGCAGAAAACCCTGAGATCAGCCATTGGTTCTGGTGGTGGGGGCTTTCTGGAACTTTGTTTCCAGGGCCTGGGGAACCCTCTGACTGGCTTTTGTTTCTCTTCTTTACCCCCACCTCCTGACAATGATGGGCACACAGAAGAAGACTCCTATGACAGTTTTGGGGAGCCCTCATATCCTGAAGTCTTTGAACCCCACCTGCCTGGCTACCCGGGAGAGGAGCTGGAAGAAGAAGAGGAAAGTAAGGTGCCCGTATTCAGATGGTCTGCTCTAGCCGTGGGCAGGGTGGAGGTGGGGCTCCCTGAAATCTGGGTGGAGGAGGGTATGAGAAAAGAAGCCCTTTATTCATCAAAGGTATCTATGAAAATCAAGGAGAAACTGCAAAGCCAAAGTCTCTCTCATTGCCAGGCCCTGGGCCTTTTCCATGCAGGCTAACCTGTATATTTGTCAGATGTGTTTCAAGTGTCCACTGTATACCTGTGCTGTGCTATGCTGTGCTAGGTGAGGCCCTGCTATGGTGGATCCCAGGGGCTAACAGGGCACAGGTGCTAATCATACTATAAAAGCCGATAAGGACTGAGGGAGACCAATGGGGTGCCAGGAAAATGGAAGGCAGGGTTCCTGATGGTCATAGAGTTCCATAAGGGGGTAACTTCTGAGCTCAGCTCCTGTGGGTGAGTCATAGCTGTAACTAGAAGAGGGGAGCACAGGGGGGCATTTCCCAGGGATCCGAGCCTAAGGCAGACAGCAGCATGTTGAGTTAGAGGAAGTGAGGACAGGACACTGAAACTGGCAGTGCAGATGAGGTGGGGAGGCTGGCTGGGACCCAAAGGGCCTTCAAGATCAAGGCGGGGATTGTCATCTATATCTCGGGAGCAGTGGGAGCCTTCAGGAGGATTTGAACTGTATGGGAGATTGACATGACTGGCGGAGCAGAGTAGTGGCCTGTGGAGACCTCTTTCTGGAAGCATATACTTAGGTGGTTTGTAGGTCATCATCCTAATGTCTTGTGTGGAGGCAGATGGGTATGGGCTCTTGGGCTCAAAGGGTGGGTCACAGCAGGTGACAGTACTGCCACTACATTGGGCCACTGTGAGAGTTGGGGTAATAACTTCCCCAGGCAGAGGCCAGTGTGGCTGGACATGAAGAATTTGAGGATGGGCCTGGAGACATAGTGAAGCAGCTCTTTTCCCAAGGGATTAAAGCAGTCGTTTGGTCCATATGCAGCTATAGACCTTGGCTGCATGCCAGGCAGAGCTGGAACAGGGAGCTGCTATAGTATAACAAAGACTCTGCTCCCAGGAAGTACCTGTGACCAATGCTACAAATTCAGGCATTCCCATGACCCTTTAGGTTCAAGAACTCACCAGAATAACTCACAGAATTCAGGAAAGTACTATACTTATAATATTATTATAAGGGATGCAAATCAAAGCTTGCCAAATGAAGAGACATAGAGGGGCAAGGTCTGGAAGGATCCTGAACATGGCACTTTTGTGTCCCCTCCTGGTGGAACAGAGCATGTCACTTGCCTGGCACATGGATGTGTTCACCAAGCTACACTGTCCAGAGCTTTTATTAGCATTTCTTATGGGGGCATGATGGAGTGAATCCTTGTCCTCGGAACTAAACCTCCATCTACAGCTACCATCCCCTTCCTAGAGGTCAGGCCCTAAGTTCTGATCCTCTGATCAGATGGTCTTTGTGGTGACAGCTCCCATCCTGAGTCATTTCATTATAGACTCAGGTGTGACCTAAGGGGCTCATGAATTACAAAGAGGCTCCTATTACTTGGAAAATGCCAAGAACTTAGTCTCTTTTTCCCCCAGGAACCCATCAAACAGGCCAGTCAGATTCTTCAGCAGCATTTGTAAAGGTTCAGAAGAAAGCCCTGAAGCCTTCAGGGAGCGCCATGTCTCTATGTTACAGAGCCCGCAGGGAGCACTAGTAGACCTCATGGTAGGCTGAGGAAGACATGGGGTTTTGTCTTGACAATGGGGGACGGGGGGACTGTCAGGAAATTATAAACAAGAAAATCTAATGATCAGAGCTGCATTCCTGACAGACTGGAGAAACTGGTGGCTACTTTTTGAGGCAGCCTAACCCCAACCCCAGTCTGCATGGCTGCTGCTAGAAGCCTAGTGAACTGGATTGTGCTGGGCAGGGACACTGATGCCTCTGGCCTCTGGTCCCCTTGTGCTGGGCAGAGCAGCTGGGTTTCCCTGACAGGTGTCATCTGCCCTCCTGTCTCAGCTTGCTTCCTGTTGAGGCTTCTGAGAGCTAAATGGGGCCACTTTCTCTTCCCCACACAGGGGGTGTGAAGCTTGGCCTGGGAGACTTCATCTTCTACAGTGTGCTAGTAGGCAAGGCGGCGGCCACAGGCAGCGGGGACTGGAACACCACACTGGCCTGTTTTGTCGCTATCCTTATTGTGAGTAGACTGGGTTTGTTCCTTGGGGAATTTCCAGCTGCTGTCTTCTTTCTGAAGGGCAAAAACAATGAGGGGATCTTGCAGGGCAGGGGCAGGGGACAAAATAAACCAGGGAAGTGTAGTTAGAACTCCTCTCTCATTCCAGAGTTGTGTAATTTCCCCTCCATGCCACTAGGTCACCATGAAACTCTAAATCCCACGGGTCTCCTGGGACTGAGAATGGCCCCATTACCCTGAGCCATAACAGTGCAGTCTGGAAGCCCTTGTTGCCAGATGCACATACTAGGGGTGATCTCCTACATGTCATCTTCCTTTTAGATTAAATGGGGTGGAGTCTCTAAGAGATACCTGCTCCATGTCCTGCCCCTTGATGAAAATGTTGAGTACCAGGGGGCCAGGCACAAGATTAAAGTTGCTCTAATGTTTGAGAAAGAGGTTCTTTCTGCCTACAAGCGTATGTGTCGGGGATGGGATAACAGATCCCAGTCCTTCCTTCTGCCACACTGTCTGACCTGGATCCTGCTGTCCCCAAGGAGATGCCTGGTCCCCATCCTGGACACCTGGGGCAGAAACAGAAAGGGCCATCTCCATGCTTGCTTCCCAGGGATGGGTCACATGGCCTCTTTGGTTTCTTCGGTGTCAGTCACTGAGAGTCCTACTGGCATTTCAGTCATGGCTGTCAGTTCTCTAAAGGGAGGCCTCCTGCCATCTATGTCTGCTGTAGCCAAATGAGGGAGGCAGCTGGTCCTGGTAGAACAGCACCACCAGGAATCAGGAGGCCCACTTTCTGGCCCACTTTTTAATAAGATAGGCAGTGTGTCCTGTCTGGAGTGAGAACCCTGACCCTCTGCACCTGGCAGAACTGTTGCACCGTCAGGGAAGACAGTGGTGTGTCCAGCACTGTTGCCTCACTAGTCTTCAAACATCTGAACCCAGGACTAGGCTAGCACTACTCTAACCTGCCCACACTGGAGGAGTCACTATTCCATGCATTTGATGTCCTGCAGGGTTTATGTCTCACCCTCCTGCTGCTCGCCGTGTTCAAGAAAGCGCTGCCCGCCCTCCCCATCTCCATCACCTTTGGGCTCATCTTCTACTTCTCCACTGACAACCTGGTGCGCCCTTTCATGGACACCTTGGCCTCCCACCAGCTCTACATCTGACAGGGAGGACATGCAGCCACAAGGCTGGAAGCTGTAGGAAAACTTCACCAGATGCAGTTGTATAGTTTTACACTCTAGTGCCATATATTTTTAAGACTTTTCTTTCCTTAAAAAAAAGAAGAAGAAAGTATTGTGTTTACTTTGTGACAAGGAAGCAAAGCAGCTCTTTGGTGCTAGCTGTTTTGTCACCAGACTGACTTGCTCATGTGAGCACCTCGCCCATGGGACACATGACAAGTTTATGCTCATGAACTAAGGGGATGACATGGAGTGGAACCAGGCCTGGAGAAGGACGCCCATTCCCCATCCAAGTCTTGCAACTTCCAGGGTTCAAGAGGAGGGGAGGTGTGCATTGGTGGGGGTCAGGAGTCCACACTCAGGAAAAGTACTAAGCACCTGGTCACTCCAGCCAAGAAGAAAAGCCAGTTCCCTGTCAGGAATTTCCCAGTGCTTTGTGATATTATTTTATTATTTTTAGAAACTGAGTCCTRTTCTTGTTAGGGCAGTTACTGCTGGGAAGTGGCTTAATATTAATATCAATAAATAAATAGATGTCTCCTGTTGGAATGTTGGGGTTTGGTCTGTTTTTAAGTGTCAGCCCCTCCCTCTCTCTGTCACCCTCTCCTGGGGCAACATGCTGGGGGCCCAGAAAGGAAGGATCTACCCTGTTAAGAGGAAAAGCTTAACTGCCTCCTTTCTCTACACTCATTTCTCTACCTAGAAAGCTTTCTAGGCAGAGGAATTGTGAGAGCATGAGGAAGACCTCACATACACTCCAAGGCAGTTGCCAAAATGCTGAGTGGTTTCTTTAACAAATATCCGTCCTCAGCAGGAACCAGCATACTGGTGTCGAAAAGCCCTTTGCTCTGCATCAGGGCAGGCCAGAGCCCATGTTGAAACCCACAGTGGTGAGAGTGTCAGGTTGGCTGTGCCCTTTCCTCTGCATCAGTCACAAGTTACAAAGAGCCTCAGAAATGCTTCAGGATAGGAACCTGAGCTTGTTGGAGCCGTGCAGAGCAGGCTGCTGTCTTTCTAGGGCTGCTGAGAAAACACAGGTGTGCATTTGGAGTTCATACTGCTAGCGCCGTGTCCTCGTTCCAGAAATAACATGAATGCTGCAAAACTGGCTGTGTATTTTGAGAGGAATAAAAGAAACATGTATCTCAGTGTTTGACAGGAGCTTTCTTTCCCCTGGACTGTTTGAGGAGGAGCAGAGGAAACCACAGTGACATGAAGGGAATTGAGGAGCCAAATGCTGTTGGTGGTAGGGCCATGTTCCATGCTAGCAGCTGCAGGGACCAGAATAATGGCATCTTTTGCAAAAGCTAGAAGCAAGGAGCAACTTAAGAGGGCAAAGATGGGCCTGGGAAGCTCCCAAGAAGTTAGTGGGGAAGAAGAATTCTGAAAAACCCATTATATTTTGTCAGTTATGGCAATGTTTATCTTCAAAAGAGTAGTTCCAGGGTGGAGTTTTCAGAGATGAGGCTGAATAAATGTTTTGATTTGAACAGCTGGAAGAGGCCTTTGTGAAAGCCCTGGCTAGTAGTTGCTGTGCTGAGGCGACATTCAGAGTAAAAGCAGACGTGGAGGGCCTGTAGGAAAGTGGATTGACAGCAAAAGAGGGAGATATGAGCACCATCACCGAAGGGCCTGGGATTATGGGTTAAGATTAAATGTTAAGACTGGGAAAATAAATGCATGTGGGAAAAACCATTGGAGAGAAGATAAAAAGAATTCAAGCTGAAAAGAACACACAGCTGGTGTTCAGATCTCCACGTAATCAATCAAATAATTTAATGTTTTATCATTTTCGCCTCAGATTTGTTTTTAGAAATAAAGCTTTGGAGTTCTGAAGTCCTGTTTGTATGATACCCCAATCCTGTTGCCTCAGTCCATGTTCTGAGGTCCGTTTGTGTCCTCCCCATCTAAGGTTTTGTATATTAGCATATTTAACATTACTCTAGAGGTTTTTTGCTTTGGTTTTCTGTTTTTGTTTTTTTCCTCTAGTACTAGGGATGGAAATTGGCCTTGCCCATTACAGTTTGGATATGAGGTGTCCCCCAAAAGCTCTTGTATGAGACTGTGCAAGAAGGTTTAGAGGTGAAATGATTGGGTTATGGGAGCCTTAACCCAATCCATGTGTTAATCCCCCGATAGGGATTAACTGGTAACTATAGGCAGGTAGGATGTGGCTGGAGGAGGTGGGTCATTGGGATTTTGTCTTTGGGGTATATATTTTATTCCTGGCCAGTGGAGTTTGTCTCTGCTTCCTGAAGTGATGTCCTGAGCCTCTCACCTCTACCACACCCTTCTGCCATGATGTTCTGCCTCACCTCAAGCCCCAAAGAATGGAACCAGCCTTCTGTAGACTGAGACCTCTGAAACCRTGAGCCCCCAAATAAACTTTTCCTTCTCTAATTGTTCTTGTCAGGTCTTCTGTTCAGAGCAGCAAAAAAGCTGACTAAAATACCCATACTAGCCAAACAATCTACCACTGAACCACATCCCTAGCCCTGACCATTTTTTTTAAGTATTTTGGAGATAAGTGTATAAATGTAGTTCTGGTTCAGATAGTTTAACTTTTGTATAGCTGTATCATTGTGTGATACCCCACTGTTTATCCATGATGCTATTGATGGGTATTGAGGATTATTGCAGTATCTCTGTATTATAATTTTACTACAATGAGCAACCCATCACATTTTGTGAATTTGTAGGAGTACTGAAGTCCCCTGGTTGCCTGGATATTTCAGTTGTTCCTATGCACTTGTGTCTGTTTACATTCCCATCAGCAATAGAGAGTCCCTTTCCCCCCCCAGTTCTGTCAATACTTGTTATTATCAGATCTTTCATTTTGGCCCATTGCCTGAACGTCATCTCTAGGATTTAGTTTGCAGTGACCTTAAGCACCTTTTCATTTGTGTGTTGGTTAAACAGGTTTCCTTGTCTGTTGTTTGTGTATTCATATTCTTTGCCCATGTTTCATTTGGTTGGTTATCTTACTGGTATTTATATCTCTTAAATACATATTGTGAAGAGATGCTAATCTTTGGTTAATTACAGTCATGTTCTGCATGGTGACATTTCAGTCAACAATGGACTGTGTATATGGTGATGGTCCCCTATGATTATATCACTGTGTACATCATAGTGTCTGAGTTTATGTAAGTACACTCTATGATGTTTGCACAACAACAAAATCTGACTGCGAATTTCTCAGAAGTGTTTCCATCTTGAAGCCTGATTTTATATTTATATATATATATATATATATACACACACACACACACACACATATTGCAAATATCTTAAGACTGTGGCTACCCTTCCTCTACCCTCCTTCAGGAGTCCTTTGCTGTACCAAAGTGATTTTAAAATGTATTGTTGTTCAGGGCTGGGGTTGTGGCTCAGTGGTAGAGCACTTGCCTAGCATGTGTGAGGCGCTGGGTTCAATTCTCAGCACCACGTATAAATAAATAAAGTTCTATCAATAACTTAAAGGTGTTTTTTTAATGTATTATTATTCAGTGTACCAGGTTTTTGCCTTTGTGACTTATGCCTTTGAATCTGCTTTAAGGGATCCTTCTCTACCCTAAAGGTTTTCTAAAAGCTTACACTCATATTTTCATAATACAATTCACCTTAAGTGTATGTTTATGGTTGTATTTAGCAGGGAGATAGTTTGTGGCGTGTGTGTGTGTGTTTGTGTGTGTTTCTGAATCTGTGATCAATTGTCCAGCACTGTGTCCCTTCCCACTGTTCTACCGAACTCTCCAGACACATGCCAAGCTCCCATATAGAGGTGGATTGATTCCCAGGCTCTCTGTTCCACTCCCCTGGTGCTTGCTGTCTCTCAGATCAATGCTCACCAGGTGACTGAAGCAGAGAACTTTTGTAGCGAGAAAGAAGGTGGAGCTCTCCTGGGAATACTTGTTTTGGGGATCCTGGAGGTGAAGGGTAGGTAGATCTAAAATCAATACCGGATTTCCTATGATGGTATAAAGCTATGAAAATATAATAGTGTGCAACTGTAGGATTCAATGTATGCATCCACTGGAGAAAACAGTAGAGCTGGAGTGCAGCCCAGTAGAGCTGTAGTTTAACCCAAGTACTGGCTTCTCTTCCTCCTTAGCACCACCTCCTGCCCTGATTGGACAGAGGGATGCAGGACAGGGAAGTTTACCCCTCCTGAGTTGTGATTGTTGTCCAGTCTCTCCACCTTTCCCTCCCACTGCCCCAATTGTGTTTTCTAGCCTTCTTTACTCCCCTATAAAAGAAAGACTGTTCTTGAGACTGGATCTTAGGGTCATAAGATCCTCCTATCCTAGTAGACCTTTTCCTGCCTCTGCAATAATGCTTTTGAAATCTTACTAAATCTCTCTCTTCTCTTAAATTTGAAAACTCTCTCCAACTCCTTCTCTTTCTTCCTATTCCTTTTTTWAAAAAATCTAGTTAATTGTAGATGAACACAATTCCTTTATTTGTTATTTATTTATTTTTATGTGGTGCTGAGGATTGAACCCAGTGCCTCATACATGTGAGGCAAGCACTCTACCACTGAGCTACAACCCCAGGCCCTCCTGTCCCTTTCTTGACTCGTCCTATTCCCTGAATGTAAGTGATTTCCAGGGTACAATTTTGGATTCCTCTTCTCTACTCCATGTCCCCCAGTGAGATCCTAGACATGCATATGACTTCACCTGCGGTGTGTCTTCCCCAATTTCTATCCCTCCTTACTAACAAAACCCTGAATGTTTCCAGGTTGGCCATATATGCAATTAATATTACTTATCTCCCAGGATCTCTGAAAATATGACGGACGTGTCTCTGACTATTGAAGGATAGCAGAATTCCCATTGGTAGGGTCTTCCAGAAAAGCTACTTTCCTGATTTAAAAGCAAGGAGTGTGGTACACCCAGTAGTAATCCACCATTTGCCTTTCTCTTTTCTCCTTGTGTAGTACACAGATATGCTGCTTGAGAGGTCACAGCTACCCCTTTTGGACCATGAGAGAAAATACCATAAGCAAAGCACATGTGGCAGAGAAGGAAGCCACAGGGAGGCTGGGTCTTGATGACTTCCTTGAGTAGCTGCCCCAGCTACCCACAGACTTCTTTTAATGTTATAAAGACAAACTCCTATCTGATCCGACCACTGTAGTTGGGTTTCTAAAACATGCAGTCCCAAGCAACCCCAATCTAATTTCCAAATAATAGATTTCTATTCCAGATGACTCTGTTCACTGAAAAGCTCTTCCACTTCATTATCTGGAGCTTATGCCTCCTCTCCTCTCTTCCACCAACACCTCAAATTTGCCCCTCCAGGGTTTACCATCCCCAACATGCTTGTCTTAGCAGTTTCCCCAGAATTCTTACAGAGTTGTATTTATAAAAAGCATCAAGTAGAGGATGAACCCTGAGGCCAACATACCAGAAAATAAAAGGAACAGGATTTCAAGGGTAGAGGAAATTACGGGAAAAGAGATCCCTATAGCAGAATAAGGCAGTGTTTTCACATCTGCTGCCAGATGGGTATGCTGGGAGCAGAAGTCATTTCTCTTGCCACAATGCAGCCCTCCCCTCACCCTTGCATTCCTTGTTCCTTAGGTTGATTCTTCATATAGTGGTAATAAAGTCCTCTTATCCTTGGTGAATGGAAGGGCTATTTTTGGAGTGGCCTCTGAACTCTAAAGTTATTCTCTGTAATAATACTTGGAGAGGAACTTGGCATCACTTTGTCACTTGGCAGTTGTTCTTGATAGAGGCAGTATCTTCTTGGATCTCACAGGCAAAGTAATAAATAGTCCTTACCATGTTTTCTATCTCCAGGGTCTTTTGTTTCCCTATTCATCTTGAGTCTTTTATGCCAATTCTACAAGGACTGATGATCCTGGCTTGAGTGTTCATTTATGAATGAAGAGCTAGAACAGGTGTCTGAAGTGGCTTTCCTTTGCAGATGTAAATCTGAAGTGGGTTGGAGGCTCATTCAGTAAATCCACATTCCCTTGTTCCTTCTTCTGTGGCCCCAAGGAAGGCCTGTCTCACATCCCCTCTCCTCTAGGTCCTGTCCTCCATGGTGCACAGGAACTGCCCGCACTCAGTCCTGGTTCCGGTTGTCTGCTGGGGAACCAGATTAAAACAAGACTGTGTCACTATAACCAATGACCCTCTCTACTAATTACCATCTCATTTGGCTACGAAGATGTGTCGTCCTAAAGATAGACCTTCCCTAGGGTTGCTTGGGACTGCATGTTTTAGAAACCCAACTACAGTGGTTGGATCAGATAGAAGTTTGTTTTTATAACATTTTCCTAACAAAAGAATAATATAAAATGTATGGAAGTTTGGTGCCAACAAAACTGATTTCTATTCTGCTACCAATAGCCATGTGTGCATTGAGGCCAGTGCAGATGGGCTGGTGCAGGCCAAGGAGGACTCAGTCAGCAGTAACCAGACAGAACCTTCTGGGCAGAATCTGCTCCAAACTCAGGAAGGAATTTCTTTATTCATACTCAGGAACTTACTTTATACATTTGGTGTATTCCAGGCAATATACCAAGATGCAATGTGAAGATACAGATGTAAAAGGACTCTGTCTAAAGAAGCTTGGAGTCTGATTCTCTGAGACACAGAGACAGACACAAGAGGGCTGCAGTGGCAGAACAAAGAGCAAAGTGGAGGTGGTCAGAAGCATCTGTGCCCTCAGGGTCAGCGGATACGGTCAGCGGATACTTCAGGAAGGGGCGGGGCCTGGTGTCCCAGCCCGCCTTCAGGTGTGGAAGACATATAGAACAATCAGGGTGCTTCTTGCTGCAAGTATCTGAAGGCCCCACTAAACAGTGACATTAGTTAAAAAGGGAAGGATCTTGTCTTAATTTTTTAATCAATTAAGATTCATCTTGCCTATGTATCATCTTCATGATTTTTAAGTGTACAGTTCAGTAACTCCTGTAGTCAGGTGAAACAGGATGTTTCTATGTTGCAAAATTGAAACTTTGTACCCAACTTTGCGAAACAACTTGCTGCTTCCCCAAATTCCCAGATCCTGGCACGTACCACTTTCTGTTTTTGTGATTTTAACTACTCTGGATGC